TGCTTTCAGACGGAGCAGCATTTACTACACAGAGCCGTAGTTCACTGACAAGTTACGCAAAAAAAAAGTCACAGATGATTTTATTGCGCGATTCTGAAATAGATGAAATCGTTGGCGATAATGACAGCTGTTTGCGTAGCTTCTCAGTGAACTACGGCTCTGTGTAGTAAATGCTGCTCCGTCTGAAAGCACGACATGATGATTTAATTTGTAATTTCCTGTTGATTGCAGAACCGGCTTTACTGACAAATTAATCGTGCAGCCCTATTGTGGACATTGATGGTGCTTGGAGAAAGGTTTGAGAACTATTGCTGCAGGACATCCATCTTTCTTTTTTCAGCGTTGCTATTTCACCTGATCAGCGACGTTTACTCAACACTTACTCGTGGCTTCTGTCCATTTCACTAATAGTTATTAGAGCGTCAGAAGTCCTATCCTCAGCCCCAACCTCCTCCTCCATCATTTCCATCTCCATCCTCATCCTCCTCCTCTTCCTCCACACTCACCCCATCCTTCTTCTTTTTCTTCTTCTTTTTCTTCTTCTTCTGCTCCTCCACCTTGTATTTGACTCGTCGGATGGGGTCGGTCATGCTGCGCATTTTGCCCTCGTCGAACTCCTCGTTCATCATGAAGTTCCTGTCGATAAGCTCCGCCCCTTCCTGCCAGTTGCGGTAGCAGTCTTGCCCCAGCTTACAGATTTCCTCCACGGCATCGGCTGTGAGAACGGAGCAGTCCGGACGCAAAACCACCACCCTGGGCAGATCCTGCACCTCGAACATCTCGCTCAGCTCCCTGTGAACCACACAAACACGTCACAAACTACAGAGCTCCTCCTGATGGTTACACACAGCGGCTCAGAAACACACTCTGATTATCAGCCTTTTTGACTCTAACCCAGCTAACAGGGAATGTTCTCAGGACTTTCTCCCAAATGAACAAACTCTTCCAGTAATGTTAAAAGAACACTGGTTCCAGGTTATCTGGTCGCTAGACATTAGAATTCTTAAGTCGCTGGGGGATATTTGTAGCAATAGCCAAAAATACATTGTATGGGTCAAAATTATAGATTTTTCTTAAGTAAAAATCATGTTCCATGAAGATATTTAGTACATTTCCTACCGTAAATATATCCAAACTTAATGTTTGATTAGTAATATGCATTGCTATGGACTTCATTTGAACAACTTTAAAGATGATTTTCTCAATATTTCGATTTTTTTGCACCCTCAGATTCCAGATTTTCAAATAGTTGTATCTCAGCCAAATATTGTCCTATCCTAAAAAATACATACCTAACATACATCATATGAAAGCTGAATAAATAAGCTTTTCATTGCTGTATAAATCTCAATAAAAAAAAAGATTAAAATAGAAGCTATAACAGTAAATAAACAATATTAAAATATCACTGGATCATGGTTAGTATCTACTTAGTTAGTAAGTACAGTACATAATATTTACATGCAGAACAGAACTGTAAAATAAAATGAAAAGTTCTTGAGTGGGAATCCTAGTTAAATTTAAATCTTTTGTCATATTTAAGTCAGACCCCGTCAAAGTGTGCTCAAGCACTGTACTAGAAACTGTCATACTCAAATTTTTTGGCATGCTTTTCTGAACAAAAATGGTACGTACTGTCTGTAGGGGTCCTCGTAGGCCAGGAACAGGCAGCGTTTGGGCAGCTCCTTCAGGAACTTCTCCTGCTGCTCCTCGGAGGAGTCCAGCGAGACGTACAGCAGGACCAGCTGAGCCGATCGCTCCACGTAGAACTCGTCCGTGAGCTTCTTGTAGAAGTCTTTGAGCGTCGGTGCGAACTCCTGGCACTTCTCGCACTCGCCGGAGCCGAAGAACAGCATGAGGATGCGGTTCTGGAGCCGCAGGACGATCTCACGCTCCGTGTCCAGCTCGTCTCTGTCTTTATTGTTCTTCACCAGAACCTTCCCCAGGAACAGGTCCACCATGACAGCTTCTGAAGAGAGAACATGCACTGATCAATGCTTGATGATATTCTTCAATGAGTTGCATGGAGTTGCAAAACTTGTAAATAAATGGCAAACAAACTAGTGCAATTAATACACTACAACACAATCAAATACATATTTTCCAGCGGGAACGGTATGTGAACTAGGCTAATAGTTTCTACACAAGCTAACTGGAAAAAAGATCATCTTGAGTTCAATGAATGAGATTGAAGATGGCGGTCAAAGTAGTTCTGCCTGCATAAACACTCACAGATTGTGAGTACAAGAAGGATTGAACCAAACCTCAATTAAAACCAACAGAGAATGTTCTCAGAACACTCTGGCAAGCCTCTAGAAGTTACGAACAAACGTTCTTCCAGTAACATTAAGTTGGACGATTGTCTAACATGTTTTAAATGTTACTGCTTGTTTCAGAACGTTCAGAGAACATTCAAAAGTAACATTGTTTGAAAAATGATAAAATAGAATGTTCCTTTAACATTCGCATCACCAAGAAAAACGTACATAAAATATAAGGTTTAGAACGTAATGAATGTTTGAATGTTATCGATTAATGGGAACGTCAGCAAACTATTCTTAACTTATTTTTGTTAGCAGATTTTAAGCATGACATCTTGTTTAAAACGAACCTGAACAAATGCAATGCACAAACACAGCTGCATGTGTAGAGCTGCATCTACCACCGCCCAAAAACTCTTGAAGTTGAAGTTATTCCCAGACCTGGAGTCTCGCAGTCTCGCTGGCCTCAGAATCGCTGTTGTTCAGAATCGAACCGATCATGAGTTCAGATCAACACAGCTGCCGTGCTGTTATGCTGTTATTTCCCGTCACCACACGCCCAGTTCACGGTGATTACAGGGTTAAACCGACACCAGACTGTCTCTGACATCGCTCTGCCAGTGTTTGTCTACTCTCCAAACAGAGAGATTTGAACAGTGAAAAGACCCCCCTATCTACATGAACCCACTGTCATAATCCTATTGAGAGCGAGAGAGAGAGAGAGAGAGAGAGACGGAGAGATAAGTACCATCAGAGTCCATCAGTTAAATCTGACAGATGCCAATATTACTCAAGTTAATTATCACAAGCACATGGCTGAGATTCAAGAACTGATTTTTGTTTCTCTTTTATCATGAACATGAATCATTTTGTTCTCTGGAAGGATTACATCAGAGATCCCATAAGCCTTCTTGGCTGAAAATACACCAAGGCCTTAATCCAATAGAGAGGGAGAGGGAGAGAGAGAGAGAGAGGGAGAGTCACCCTGCTCATGTCAGCAAAAAGCAAACTTCCCGCTGCCAAAATGACCGTGTGACACACACACACACACACGGAGGTGTAGAAACTCTGGCATTTCAATCAGCATCTGATTAAAGGACAGTAGAATCAGTTGAAGGGGCCATTAATCAGTTTAATTGCTTTCCTTATTTCAATCAACCAATTAACAGCGTGACGAGCAGCTCGTTTTCTGACATGAAGCTATAATATAACAGACCGTCAGCGTCACACATGAAACTCATCAAATTGACTAACTTTTCCAGGCGAAAGCACCGCATCCGTCAGGCTGCCTCTATGAGAGCTTGCAGTGCGTTTTAATGAGAAAGTTAAAAAAAACACACACAAAGGTGTACGACTGTGACTGATTGTGCTGTAAATGTGCTCATCCACAGCCCTTCAAAGATCAGAATGAGTTTGTTTCTTCATCAGATTTGTAGAAATGTAGCATTGCATCAGTGTCTCAGCAATGGATGCTCTGCAATGAATGGGTGCCGTCAGAATGAGAGTCCAAACAGCTGATAAAAACATCACAATAATCCACAGCACTCCAGTCCATCAGTTAACATCTAGAGAAGACAAAAGCTGAGACAAATAATTAAGACGTTTTTAACTTCAAACAATTGCTTCTTGCAAAAATATGTGCCGTCTATCCATGAACTTCCTCCAGTGAAAAAGTGGCCTGGTCTGAATCAGGAGAGAAATCTGCACAGATCACGCACTGGTTACAAGCCAGAACAGCTCTAAACAAATATGTGTCTGGATTTTGCTGTGAGAGACAACAGGAGATGTACTGTTTCACTGGAGGAAGCGTTATTATGGAACGTCTTGCTGGTTTTATTTCAGCTTTGGTCTTCTCCAGATGTTAACTGATGGACTGGAGTGCTGTGGATTACTGTGATGTTTTTATCAGCTGTTTGGATGCTCATTCTGACGGCACCCATTCAGCAGATGCCTCCTAAAATCAAACTGAATCTACGGCATCAGGCTTTAAGAAACATTCTTTATTCTTTGGTATAAAAGGCACATTCAGAATGAAAGAAACAGAAAGTATTGATACAAAAAAAAATCACTCATTTAACTAAATATTATGCATTTCTTGAGTTAGCACATTAAGCATCATGTAAACATTAGTTTGCCACACAAGCATCAAAATGGAGTCATTTTAATCGGTGTCTATTCTCCCATACAAATCTCTTAAGGCAACTGAAAAAAACAAAGAACATAAAAACTAAAGGTTAAACACTTCTGTGCGGTTCACATCACGGGTAACAGATCCGTCGGCTGACCTCGAGGACCAAGAACAAGCTGAACGAGCAATAAATTAGTCATCTGCAAGCAAACCATCAGATAAAAACATGCCGATCTCATCCTAACCTTAATGCCGGGTTCAGACTACACAATATTTTTGTCGGTCACGATAGTCACTGTGTCAGATTTCACGATTTTGACTCCTAAAATCTTGTCGTGTCGTGGACAAGAAACATGTCAGACTACAGGTTGCTTCCCAAACATCGACAAGGCGGAACTAGCGACTGACTTCCGAAAACAAGAGTGTAAACATTGCTGAAGCGCTTCCGCTATAGTTCGCCAACATTGTTCTTTCTTTGTTCTGTCGTGGTAGTCCC